TCATTTTAAGTTGCTGTAATCACAAATCAATCAACCTACCTCCTTCCAAAAATACTGATGATAATCAGTAAGGGATTGAATTTGGAGGATCCAATTCAGTTGGTTTACTAACAGCAAAGTGTTAATGTTATCAAAGGAGTTATCTAAATTCAATACTCTGCCACCAAATAAGTAAAAAAAAGGAAAAGGCAATTTAAACAGGCTGGGAAGAGTTTTGCAGTATCCCTAAAAATTTAGGCAGAGGAAAGGACTTTCAATGAAGTAAATGATCATAATTTTACCTGTGAGAGTGTGCACTTGTACAAAATAATCTCCTATTATAAGCTATTACATATGTCAAATGCAAAGTGATTCTTTATGATAGCCACTTTCTTTATAAGCAAGTAATCCCATCTTCCAAGATATTATCAGGTTTTACTTAGGCTAAAGGTGGTTTTAAAATAAAATACTGCCAGGATGAAAAATATGTGAGCAATAATACTTTTTGTTGGACTTAATAAAAGGAATATGTATATGTTCATTATGCTTAGATCATATCATATACACTAGTATTTTAGTCACCTTTATTCACCAATATAAAACCAAGTAGAATTCAGTAGTTTTATATTGATCAAAAAGGAGATTGCTTTTAGAAAAGTGTCATTCACCCTTATTCTCTTCCCTTCCTACTCATACCAACACACACACACACACACACACACACACACTTGTAAATTATAATTTCCCTACGAAAAATAAAAGAGCTCAGAGAAACAGGGAAAGAACCAGCAATCAAGTAATTTGTTTAATACTCAGTTAACACAAGTAAGATAGGAGCTGGCTTCAGTTTCCTTGGATGAGAAAGGCAATTCATTGAACTCAATAGGTTAAAAGGTTTGTAATGAAATTATGACATATGACAAACTACTAAAAATAAATGGTTGATATATGCATTCTAATCAAGAGAAGAAAATAATTGAAAGTGAATGTATTTTACAGGTCTTTCCACCCTATTTTTTTCTGAGAACCACAAAGTCCACCTGAATTCTTATTACAATGTCAGTAATCATAATAAGCACAAATAACCTACCATTACGGGAAGTGTTGTCAAGGGGACAATGAGTCTGGCCAGCCCTGCATGAGTAGCTGAAGTCTTAACACCAAGTGTACATAATACCAGCATTATTATTTACCTAAACTTTTACTCTTTAAAGGAATTAAAAATTATTGCTTTTAAAGTAGACTCATCCAAATTAATAATATTCATGAAACCAAAGGTGTGACATTCTAGTTGTATTTCTTCTAACACAATATATTTTACATTAAAAAATAGCCCCCCAAATGACCTCATGTTACCACTAATGGTAAAGACAAACACATTTAGTGAAAACAAACTACCCTATATAATTTTCAACCTGATTTCTTTTTCACAGAAAACAACTGATGAACATGTACTAGCATCAAGTTTAAAAACACACTTAATGCTCAATTTAACGTCATGCTTGCTACTTATGTACTGCAGTACATCATTTAAACTTGAAAACAGTTGAATAAAAGCAGCTGAGTTGATATATCGAACCCAAAACACTCACTGTCTCAGTCTCATACTGGGTAATCAATGAGCTATGGAGAAATTGTAATTTACACCAAATGAAAGTGTATAGTGTGCACAGAAAAGACAGGCTGACTGAAGGTTCCGCTTGGATCCTATCTTCCTGAGCACAGCCTCTCTGGTTTTTATAGCTGATAGTGTTAAAAGTGATCTTTCACTCCCCTAGGGTACGATTCCTATGCACCAGGGAGAAGAAAAGGGGATGATATGGTTTAACATGACAACTCTGCTACTCGTGTTCTATAGAAAATTCATGTTTTTGAGCTCTTGATTTTAATTATAGTCATTCTCTTCACTAAATCAGCTCATTCCATTGCTTCTGCAATAAAGTTTCAAATTCTCTGCCTCTGCGTCTACTGAGTGCTGAGTAAAGGTAGAGTCCCTTAGGCTTGATTGCTCCTGACAGCGTATGGAATCACCGCCAAAACTCAGAGAGCTTAGGGGACGTCTAAGTTCATAATTATTTAAATTCTATTAAACATCACCAGTCCCATGGGGTGAAACTGCCCAGGCTTTACCCATTAATATAAACTCTGTACTGTGTCTAGATGTGCATTTTGTCATTTTCCCCAAGAGAACTGGAAATGAGCTCTTCCTGGCGTATAATTGCTTTGTGCAATCCAGGGATTAACAAGACTAGGGGAGGCATGCACTTAACAAGCTCACGACATTATATGACAGGCGATAGGAAAGAAGTCATGGGTTCTAACCACTTTCTCCTCCTTTGGGGAAGCATCCAAGGAAGCAGAGCAGAGAGGGAAGAGAGAGGAAGAGAGAAACAAAAATAAGGCATATATTAATATGTGCGCTTTTAAGAAAGACAATCATATGTCACTCTAAAGTGTTTAAACACAGGTATATCGAAGGCTAAATGTTTACTCTTCCTTACAAATAATCATTGTTCAATCTTTCATTGGAAATGCACGTAAACGGACGCTACTATAGGTAAGATACAAAAGTTGGGCGCTATAACTTCTAAAAGTTTTAGAATTTGGATTATTACATATACATTTAAACAATTCTTCAGAAAGAAAGCTTAATTTGCTACCATATTTAGCCTACCTATTATTAAAAGATATATTAAGATGCATACAGTTTGTACAAAGTTTATCAAATTACTGCTAAAATATTTATAGTTATAAATTGAAAAAAATCTAAGAATGGGAAATTTTTGTAATAAGTAAAAGTGAAGAAAATACTTTAACTATTTTAACCATAAATTATTCCACAAGCAATATTTATTGGTAATATATATTTCAACATTTAACTGTCATACAAAAAAATGACTCTTTACGTTGTTTTGTCTTATGTTCAAGATTAAGTATTTTAAGTTGTGTTTTCTTTTATTTTGTTCTTTTGAATATTTTTTCCAAAATTAGATTCGGTTTAGTAGAGATAGATGAATTACATTAGGACAGAGTGTCTGCTCCAAAGCATTACCTACTGGCTCAATGTTTTTGAACACCACCCTTTTTTAAACATGAGTTTAACCCTAGTAATTTTAATATATCAATGATTAACTATATTTCTATTAGTTTACCTCAAACTTATAATGGGAAGTTAAACACATTCAGCTGCTACGGGCACTCAGACAGCATTAACACTCAGCCGATTTGCACCCCAGAATATCATTCCCAGGTCTCGTTAGTGAGAATTCATTCTAAAACAGCATGCTTAAGAATACTAAAAAAGGGAAAATTAACAAATAGGTCTTGTGCACTTTTTAGGTGCCAGACAATATCTTAACCCAAGGTTGCTCTAGAAAGGCTTTAAGGTGGCATATGAAGATTAATTAAAACGAATAACTTTTAGAAGTAAAAAGAGAATTATGTGGCCATAAGAATAAAACCTAAAAAGCTATGCATTTCATAAAGACCAAATTTAAACTTTTTTAGTTGAATTCTCATAACACAGAGGGTAATTAGTACTATCCAGTTCCGTAGGTAAAGAAGTTATTGTTTAGAAAATATGATTATCTTCCCAAGGCCACAAAGATAACAGCAGGCTCACCTTAAAGTACAATTTCTATTTTACTGAATGTCTTAATTCCACTGAAAAATATTTTAGAATACCTAACTTACAACTCAAATATACTACCAAAGAGTACAATGCTGACTGGGACGTTCATTTTAATTTTAACTGTGATTTTCCAAATTAGGAACATATTGAGAGTGCTTAGAGTATTCTTGTTATTTTTAAATATAACTTTGTATTAAGTTAAAGTCTATACATGATTAGATAATATGCAAAATTCTTTAAACATACAATGAGTATTATTTAGGAATATGATAACCTTAACTTCTACATTACACTGCAGACCCATATCAAAGAAACTCACACACACACACCCCTATAATCCACTGTGCTAATATTGGTAATATAATAAAGAACAACATTAAAATGTGTTCTAAACTAAACACTTATTAGAATTAATTTAGTATTTCACAAATTATTATATTGAGTCCTTTATATTAACACCTTAGTGCCTCAAAAATTTGAATATATTGAAAGCACTGGCATAATGAAACTGTAGCTGTTATTTAAGGAAACTACATCAAGTGAGCCTCATAGAGAAAAAGTAAAAAAAAACCCACATTAAAAAAAGTCTTCATATACTCTCTAAAAATCTGAATAATTTCCATGCGATAAACTTAGCACTGTATTTCTTTAACATGATATGAAATTACTCTCCTAGAGGCTTCTCATAGATTATAAATAGATAATTATCTTGGGTTGAATTTAATGCCACATAGTTTAGTTTGCATTTTACCTTCATTCAATCTGAAGCAAATGTTGCAGAAACTAAAGGAGGGTTTTGTTTCCTTTTGTGTTTTTTTACAAGAACCGGGCGTAACAACTATCAAGAATTTTACAACTCATGATCCTACATCTACTACATTCTTCAGAAAATTAACTGCTACAGATAAATCGGCTGGTTTTGAATGGGAACCGCTTCAGGCACACACATATCGAAACTCTTTTTAGGGATTCTCTTCATCACGACTCCACTACTGTGAAGTTCCGAAAAAACAAAAGAACAAA